GACGGACGGACGGACGGACGGACGGACGGACGGACGGACGGACGGACGGACGGACGGACGGACGGTCGTCGAACTCTGAAAGTAGCCAGTGGGGTGCGCCGCGCGCAAGGTTGGCGGGGTGACCTACTTTCGACGGACGCGCGCAACGGACGTTCTCCGTCGTAGAATGGAGTGCCAGGGTGCAGGGGACGGCCCCTAGTATGAATGTGCCCAGTCCGTATACCGTATCAAAGTGCCCAGCTTTTCGCTGTGGAAACCACCGGCACTTTGCCAGCGGGGGTTCTCGCAGCGAAAAGCTTAGCAGTTTGCCACGGCCGCACTAGAGGGGTCCGGGAACTTCTCCCTTGTCACGGCGTCGCACACGCCGCACCCGCCGCGTATTGCAGGATTGATGGAAGATTGGAGCGCGCAATTTATGAGGTAGGGAGTCCTTTAATTATTTGAATTGGCTGACCGCTTTCTTCAATTTCAATGCATTCTTGATTGCCGCTTACATAGGAGGAATCGTTTTAATTAATCAAGTCTAATAAACATGAAAACGAAAAAGAAACAGAAGAAAAAATGATCAAATCCAATAAAAAAGCAAGGCAATCAACGAAAAATGTCGCGTCCTATCGATTGGGGGGAGGCGGGGTGAGTACGGTAACTGCAGTGACATTTGCCGCATGCCGCAAGGGAGAATGCCGCGATAGGGGAGAAGTTCCGTTACCCGCACTAGAGCAGATCTTGCGGCTACGCGCATGCGAATCTTCGTTCCTCTTCAACCTGCAATAGCCAATGACGACATTCATTGGAACTGTGTTGTGTGTCCTCACCTCTGAAATATACGTTCGTACTCTAAACACCCATTGCATTTCTGCGATACGCGGTGGACGCGGTAACACGCTGTTTGGGCTCAAATTCAATTCAAACACCCCTGCCATTGATTGAAAGCCATGAAATGGGAGTAAGTCGGAGCCTTTAACTTGCTAGTGGAGTTAATCATATGATGATTCGGGGAGTGAAAAGACCAAGGGAACACGCAATTAGAAACATAAAATAACGAAAGGGAAACCAAAATTAGTTATTGGCTGGTTGACTTCACTTTTGCCTCTTCCTTGATTCGGCAATGCACAAAATCAATACATAATTATTGCTATAGTTGTTTCCATGAACTCATGTTCCCGCGTTTGCATTGCTGTTAAGCTATTAGCACCGCCTCATCGTTTAGAAAAACTCGGAAACCTCGAATATTGTTGCAAACAAGCTGATAATCATTCCCATAGTTCCTCTTATTCAATTATGTTGTTTCTTCATAGTGACTACCTACAATTTAGCTCACTGATTCAGGAGGAATTTGAACGCAGTCTTATTCTTACTTTATCCGATCTAATCAGAAAACTTTAATTTCAGGCGGCTTCAGATGCGTTTCGCCTTGGCTCACCGTGGCGCCGTATGGATGCTTCCCAACGCGGTGTTCTGATGAACAAATTGGCTGACTTAATGGAGCGTGACAAGGTTTACCTCGCTGTAAGGGTTTTTTTTTGTCTGACCACATTTCTTTATGTTGGTCATCTCATCCACTACCATTTTCATGAGCCTGAAACCTCTCAAGGTACTTTCAGTCTTTGGAAACACTCGATAACGGAAAACCGTACGCTGAGTCATTTTTTGCTGATGTGACATTGGCAATCAATTGCATAAGGTAGGCAATTTTTGACGACCAATCATCGAAGTCAATTTTCGGTCATTTGGGATTTGAGCTTCGTGATGCTTAGAGTAAAGCTTTGAAGCGTCTCGGCAATTATACAGACGTGATTGGCAAGGGAGTATGTTTTCCTACTGATCTTTCACACATAGGTAGATGTTGACAGTCGCATGTCATTAAGTCCTCATAATCCTCGACCTCGATCTTTTAAATATTTAATTGTGCAGAGCGAAATAGCATTATACAGTTTCATCTAGCCCAAAATTAGAAGGTCTTCTTATGCTCACACCTTCCTTAGCATTGTAGAGCGGTTCGTCTTTGCACCGAGCCATCAACAGGAAGCAGATCTGTAATTTGGTATTAGGTTGGCAAATAAGTCCTGCGACAAAATGGAGACCTTTTTTGAATCATTTCTAAATTTTTTCATATCAATCAATTTTCGGAAAAATATTAACCGAAGAAGTCAACAGCCTTCTTTTATCCTTTGAGCCAATCACTGATACCATCTCTTCAGGAGTGAGGGAGCTGTGACTCAAAGAAGTAATTGACTGCCGTTTTCGGATCACATTAAAATGCGAATTTCTTTTCCACAGCGGGTTGCTCAAAAAGGCGGAGCACATGGTAGTTAAAAGGGGGAACACTCCGGGAGTACGATTGATGAGTAACCTGGAACCAAGCGGGGTTGGTGAACTTTTGACGTAGGTCTAGAGCGAATTTTCGACGTGCGTTGTCCCTCTGTAGGGACCTGATTTACGGTTTGATCGTCCTTCTCTAAGCCCGTTAGCCAAATAAGGGGAATCATACAGGCAATCGATAGCTGTGTCCATCTAGTCTACGTTTAGCATCTCATAGTGGATGGATTCCTTCAACCTCCATTCAACTAAGGGACGATGCTTGCGTTACTCCGAATGCTAGTATCTCCTACAGCGAAGCGATCGAACAGATTGTTGACCGTCGATTGGTGAGCAGTGCTAGCATCGAATAGATTGCTGATATTTCGAGCCGCTACACCCCCGTTTTTCCCTTGGTGCGCTTAGTAGAAGGTGATGGCACGAATCGGGTGTTGTCCACTTCCTGACCGTAATGCTGCGAAAGCCCCCACGAGTGCCATTATTCACTCATGTGTTGATTGCTCGGGGAATGTTCTACAAGTTTATACCCCTTGCTACCGTGTTCACACTGTTGATACGAATTTTCAACGCTTCAAATTTTTTGTCGCAGGACTTATTTGCCAACCTAATATTAAACCGAAAATTTCTTTTTAAGGTACTACGCAGGATGGGCGGACAAGAACCATGGTAAAACCATTCCGATTGGTGGCGACCATTTTACTTACACGCGACACGAACCTGTAGGAGTGTGCGGTCAAATAATCCCTGTGCGAGCATTTCACATTTATCTCGCCAATTATATGGTTGGAGTACCTATAAACTTTGATATTCTTTTTTCTTAACCTAGGTATAGCTGACATACAACTTCAAGTATTGTGCATTACTGCCTTGAAGATTTACTGCATTTTTTCTGTGAACGTAGCAGCGGACAAAAAAGGCCACCACATCTAAGTTGCGCAGTGGTGAACCCTGTGAAGCCTGGGGACGGTCACAAATTGCGCGGCGTAGTTCGTGGCGATTTGTACGATTCTGACGACAATTTTCGGGGTACAAACTCGAAGTAGAGTAGTTTAGTAGGGTCAGATGATCCTTCTAATCTACTCTATTTCATATTAGGGCTCCAATGAGCGGGGCTCCCCCCTAAGCGCTAAAGCCGTTCAAATCGTTACGAACTTCGCCGCGCAGTTTGCCGCGCGCATCCTCGGACGAACGAGGTGTCACATACCCGTGAACCCTTGGTGTGAATACACTAATTGGGTCGAGTTTCGCCCAGGTCACTCGGGGGACGGAACATTCACACAGAATTGGATGGACGTGGCTAACCGCGCGGCGAAATTCGTGGTGTTTAAAACGACTCCGGCGCCTATCGTTGGGGCACAAATTTGAGGTGGGGTAGATATGTAGCATCAGCTGACCCTTCTTAACCAATATACTCAAAATCCGTGCTCCACTTAGGGTCAGAGCCAATCACCACGAATTTCGCCGCGTGGTTTGCCGCGTCCATCCAGTTCTGGGTGAATGTACCCATACCCAGGTCACTCATTTACTCGAAAGTCAGCACTCCTCCTTCAAGAAAAAAGAATTCGTGATTGTGCACGTTTAATGTCGGATCTGTGCTGCATCTGGATCATTATTATTCTTCATAGGTAGAACTTCCTACTTACAGTGGAACTTTCCTATCCTTATGCAAGCATGGAAACTCGGCCCAGCATTAGCAATGGGCAACGTTGTGGTTATGAAACCAGCGGAGCAAACTCCACTCACTGCACTTCATGTAGCCAGTCTTATTAAAGAGGTTTGGAAATCCTACTGATCTTTACCCAAAATGTAACTGAGCCGTAACTGTTTAGGCAGGGTTCCCCCCAGGTGTTGTAAATCTTCTCCCAGGCTATGGGCCGACTGCCGGACACGCGATATCCAGCCATCAAGAAGTGGATAAAGTCGCCTTCACCGGTTCTACAGAAATAGGGCGAATTGTAATGAGAGCGGCAGCTGAGAGCAATGTCAAGAAGTAATTAGCGCTAATATCCTCAATATTCTATTCCACGGGCGGATAACTCGAGTGTTTGCTTACAGAGTCACTCTCGAGCTTGGTGGCAAGAGTCCTAATATAATTTTTTCTGACGCCGATCGTAAGTAACAAGGGTATTGTCAATTTTCCTTACAGGTCGTATTTCAACGCAGAAACACGTTAAGGACAACCGGTCTTCAGAGCGCATAATCTGCCATACTGTTGTTGTTCGATCAATTCTTGCCCTGGAGTAGCCTCAACTTCTTAAGATTTGTGACCTCTGGGTTTTCAGTTGATAGCGCCATCCATCTGGCGCACCTGGGCATATTCTTCAACCAAGGACAAGTGTGCTGTGCAGGATCTCGAGTTTTTGTGGAGGGCAAGGTGCGCGTCCTTCACTTCTTCGGGTTCATTTTTTCTTTATCATTTTTAGTCACCTTTTCAGATTTATGACGATTTTATTGCACGCTCTAAAGAATTAGCGGAGAAGAGGAAGCTAGGTAATCCGTTCGATTTGCAAACGGAGCAAGGACCTCAAGTAAGGATATTTTGATTGCAATACACAATGGAAATGTTTCTTGCTTTCCATTTGGTGTGATGATGCTGAATGTGTGCCAGATAGATGAGGAACAGCTGAAAACAATTCAACGTTATGTGGAGTCTGGTAAAAAGCAAGGGGCTCAGCTGGTCACTGGTAAGTTACTTCCTTGTTAGGGAAAAGTACTTCATAAACAGTTCTCAGACTGGACCGTCTATATCCTTAACACTAAGTTTTCTCTAGGCGGAAAAAAATGGGGCGACAAAGGTTTCTTCTTTGAACCAACCATATTTGCAAATGTCAAGGATGAAATGGTAATCGCCCAGGAAGAGGTACATTTAAGAGAATGTCTTGTTTCCTAACTGTTATCGTATGCTGTAGTGAAATTAAAATTCGGACTTATATTCCCGCATATGACACTATGTTCCGAGCGCAGATCAGAAGCCGTTAGATATTTTCGTCAATAGAATATAAATTTGTGTTTGATGTTTTGATGTACCTGTTCAAAGGCTTGCCACCAATGTGATCGCTCTTCAGATTTTCGGACCGGTGATGAGTGTCATACGGTTTGATTCCATGGACCACCTTGTAGAAATAGCAAACAATACGATTTATGGTCTGGCAGCTGGTGTTGTGACAAAGGATCTTGACAAGGCACTCTATGTCGCCAATAACATCAGGGCAGGATCGGTTTGGTAAGTGTTTGTGTTTAAGTAAGTTAATTTGTGTGAGTTGTCAGCTGATTTCAGTTCATTGCCGACACGTAATAGAGAACGAATTTATGGTAGTGGGGTACATAGGGTTAGGGTTACGGCACCTAGAGCCATATTACCCATTGCTTGAAATTCGACCTCGAAAATAGGCTGTCGTTTATAACAAGCTTAATTCAGGGTTAACTGCTACCACGCGTTTGATGCAGCTGCTCCTTTTGGTGGATATAAGCAGTCAGGTAATACTTCTTGTATACCTTTTTATGAATACCACGAAACAAAATGTGATTGCCTAAGGAAGCAGTCAGGCGGGCAGCAACTAATGTAGATTTTCGCATTGAGTGCAGTGTATGCATTTCCTGGAACATTGCCGACATATTACGGCTCACTCCTGACAGCAGCCGAAACTGTTATCAGATGAGCAGCAATGTGTCTAAAGTGCGACTAACACCGGTCTGTCGCGATGGTTACACACGGTTTCTCCATCCAGTCTTGTTTAATCTCGTTTCAAACCAAAAGTTTTTCAAATGTTATGAGAGGACTACTACTACAGGCATCGGACGTGAGCTTGGTGAATATGGTCTCGAGGCGTACACGGAAGTGAAGACAGTAACCATTAAAGTTTCACAGAAGAACTCTTAAGAACTGATAGTGTCAAGCTTTATCGTTGACTTTTAAATGAACTCATTGCGATGTTCTATGTAACCTGATCGTACATGCTGTAATGCATACTCGCCACTTCCAAATTTTCTTGGGTTCTAAGATTTACTTGTAATGTTTCATAGCTGATTGTGAGTTCGACAGTTCATTTCTCTTTCTTTGAATGATAGAATAAAGGTGATAAGATACTCTTATTTCTCTCTTATGAATTGTCGTCCTAGAACGATCCCACATATTTCTGCGGGAATGCAGACGATTCCAAACGGGTATGGTGCATTTGTATCGCTCGATGTTGACCTCCGGTGAAATCCCTGATTAAATAGGCATTTAACAAATGTGAGAGGGATTATTCCGTTGTCATGATTAGCAGCTGTCACTAGAAAATGGGTCTCGTCTCCTGTAATCAATGGCTTTTCGGTTTTTTCTCATATCAAAGCTTCATATTCAGATTGTGCTCAAAAAATGTTCTCGTTTGCTCTTCCATCATGTGAAGGTGTTCATATTAAGATCTTACAATCATTGACAATCAGCCAGTCAGCCCTTTCTTGATAATTTTGCTCAATAATAGCTGTATTAGCCAATGGAAAAGGCTGAGTTGTGGTGGGCACACGAACCGAACGCTGACCGGTTCAAGTGCCCGCTTCCTAGTTGAATTGTACGTCCTTTGAATGAGACCCAGTCAAGCTGTCACTCATTGTCAATGTCGTAATACCTTATTTGTGTGGCAGTAGTCAGTTGTAGATGAGCGCTGAAGGTAGCGAAAGACATAGCAATAATTGCTTGTTAGCCAAGAGTTCCCTTTTATAGAGAAGTGCTCTTTGGAATGCGGACAAGGCAGTGGCATGGTTCCCATGCTGCCGTTTGTACTCGTACCAAGTTTGAACGCTCTAGGTCCACTGGAACAGGAGTTATGAACTTCCGGTCAAATACACACACCGACACACACTTAGCGAACTATATAGTGGGATATATGTGTAAATATACAGCAGCGCTCAAAAGTCTTCGGTGAAATGGTTCTTCAGCCGTACTTTTAGTCGTAACTGGATCTGTTCATGCGAATTTTCTATATTTGGATCATGATGACTATTCACCACTATTAAACTGCAATCTGATCATGTTCCAGATATTCCAAAGAGCATGAACTCAAAATCGACTGAAAATACAGGCGATGGTCCTTCTAGAACTTCTTTCCTTTTTGTCATGTCTAAAGTGTACGAGCAGCAATGCCGAACGCAATAGATGAGAAAAACGCATATAAGGTGCGAATAAGTGCAGACGTCAACAACTTTAGTTTTAGCAAAATCTGCTACCGCAACAAACACCTTGCTCTATCTGAGGATATTGAAGCTTCGCAGTCAAATAGTATTGGGTAGGATGAAATGTGCTCTAGTTAAGCATATCCAAATTTTGCGCGATTTGGTGTACTGAGAAAAAAGTTGTGAACTAAAAAGCGTCAAAGCATTTCACCGAAGACTTTTGAGCGCTACTGTATATGTACATATAAATATAAATATAAATAAATAAATATATATATGTATATATATGCATGTATGTGTGTATGTGTCTTTTAAGTTTTGATTCCAGACCTCATAGGTGTGGTGTTGAATATTGGAAATATTTGCTGATGTACGGTTAGGGGACTGGACATAGGCTTGTTCAGAAACCCGCACCTGCAACCAGACTATGCAGAAGTTGTAAATCATGTTGACAAATGGATTGAAGCAACAAACGTGAAGGAGACGGCAGTGCTACACAAACTCTGCTGGTTTGTTCTTCGCGTTCTCTTATTATTTCAATCTACTAGCGTTTTGTTCCTACTATGTGCCTTTTCTCTCGATTGCTTCAAAGGATGTGTTTTATTTGAACTTATGAGAGTGAGTGAAAGAATTAGTGCTGCGTCATGAGATACTTAGGCTCGAAGATTCATCTTACAAATTTTAGCAAACTATTCGAATCACTTAAGTGTTCCTCCGTGAAGCCTCGGCCAAGATATAATATTACAATTTTTATTCGGCTGAAAGAAGACCATCTAAGGCTCTGACCAGGAAATCTTGGCCGAGGATTCAGAGAAAAACACATAGGACATCACTATCATGCCAAGATTAAGTGAGAGTCGGGCATGGTTGCTTTCATTCAAATCATATTCTTCCTAAGAAAGGATCTTCTTTCACAACGCTGTTTCCTGAGTGTGAGGCGAACTCTCTGCTGTTACAGATATGTATCTAAAACCGCTATTGGTAGATATGTCAAGTTTCTGAGTGTCCTTGCTGCTCGGTCGCCGTAGCAGATTCAGATAAGAACGTCAAAAAGAGCCTCCGCTTTCCTCCTGAGAAGGTATGTTTGCTAAGTCATTCATGTGTAATTGAAAATGAGTCAGAAAAGCATGGTTCTTTTCCGCCATTCGTGTCCTAGAGGTCCCACAAGTTTTTGAATCGTTCCAATTCACTTCATGTATTATCTGCCTAGGACTAGATGTCAAACCATGGGACTGCTTAGTTGCTACATTTCTTTTTTCACAGTGTGTCGTTCTTCTTATCTAGAAGGCCATTGTGAACTCATCTTGAAAAGGTATTATTTTACTAGCAAATCCTATGGAATTGAGGGTCAAAATAATCATAAATAGGTTTATAATCCGGTTTAACCTATGAGACGGTATCTTTCAGCGAGACGTCCTCGCAATCTGTCAGTGTACCGAAACGAATGTGTGGGTGTTCAGAGTTTTGTGCGGCTTTTTACACAATCGACTGCTCACTCATACGTCTCGATCACGGCTTGAATGGGCAGAAAACTTCAAAACCTACATTCACGACAGACAAGAACTTATACACTAGTGTAATATCAGGAGATTTACCAGAACGTACTTTCTTGGAAACGGTCGTCCGGTGAATCCTTAGCTCTACTAGTACAACCGGGGAGTGTGCGATTTTATGCTCAAGTAATGAAATCACGTCAAACAGTTTTTAGTACAACGTGTTGCGCTGCAAGAGTGGAGACGAATTTCATTTTATTTCAATTCAAGGCGCTTCATCCTGATCGCGGCTACATATGCATTGGAAAATAAAGGTAAATTCTGAGGATTAAAAGCGCAAGAAACATTTCTGATGCAATGCTTGCATACGAATTGAAGAATTGGAAGAAAACAAGAACGAAGATTAAAATCGAAGGAGGAGAACCAAATTCCTCTCTTGAAGTTTCACTACGGTGATGTCGTTGCATTCTCACCACAAAATGTGTAAATCTCAGTCGTAATGTTCGCAGGTCAAGAGTGTGGCGTGACCCCATTATCTAAGCGATAGAATCGCAACACACTCTCTACAACCTAACGCGCGCTACCGACTAAAAACCACTTATTGATGTTTGCAATGCACACGCCAAACTCCCCGATCATTCGAAAAATTCCCGAACGGACCATCTAGTTGGATAAAAAAACGGTTAAATCAACCACGGAGTGCTTAATATATTTTAATATCCTACTTCCGAGTTCCCGGCATTATAAGCGAAATATGGCTTTGTGCTGATTTGAAAAGCGGAGGATTTCTGGGTCCGTCAAATGCATTTCCCCATTCTCTTAGTTGATCGTTGATCTTGCTGGGTCGATATCATGGAGAATGTGCGATCGCGTCATTTGTTTACTGGTCATACTCAATTAATCAGTCTTCTACGTTACTTACCTCGTCATTTTCTGTCTCAAATGCAGTTTCTCAAACGTCTTTGATATTTTGGGTTTGTTTCAGTCTGCAGCTGTACCTAAAGTTTCTCTATAAGTTGTTCATATCCCTTCCAACTCATTCATCTAATAAAGATTAGCTGATGCTAAACCTAGGGGAGAAGAGATGAGTAGGACCTTTCCAATGACATTGAGGTCCAGTTGTCTATAGAAAATATGTTCCATATCATGCAATCAAATGGTTCTAATTTATCGGTTTCTATTTAAACTTTTCTCATAGTTAAGCTATTTAATGCTCAGATTATGCTCTGAGAGATGCTCCATTTCTCACCCATCATCCAAGGGTGAGTACACCGAGTAATACACAATGAGCGCCAACTAATGAGACATGTTTGATCGCAATGAACTTGACGGAGAGGACAGCAGTAGAGAGTTGTAAGTAGAGTTGTACCTATATGGGTACGCCCATATAGGAACAACTCTACTTCCTTCTTCTGCAACCTTCTTCGCACCTCCATTAACTCGCCTGTAAGGTGACCTCGCTCAATTGGATGGTTGCTGACTTCTCTATCAGACCAGACTAACCTGTAACAATATCGATTGTATGAGTTTAAAAATCGCGTTCGACGCGTCGTATATATGATGGATGAAAATTTGCCTATTAACATGGGGTTGGATTACTGTAAGAGCCGCAAGTCTCGAAGAAGGTGCCCGATTTATGAGGAATCCCAGTTGACGACTCTGCCGCCTGCAGAACTAGAATATCCATCGCACCAATCCTCATCCGTTTGCTTCATGAGCCGGTCAGTATAAGGTGTTTTTCCTTATAGATGAAGAGAAATGATTATCTTCCTTTTGGATAATCATTAAGTTAGTGAACCGATTTTCATGAGCCTGTGTGGATCTCCACGATTCGGACAGGGTCGCTCATTCCAGAGCAGTCCATAATCCGTCACGAACTGTCGAATTCCTTCTTCGATTTGGATGTCAGCTCTGGCCCGGTGGAAGTTAAAGTGAGTCCTCGTCGAGACAGGAGAGGATCCGCCATTCACTCAGAATAGGTTTCAAGTATAAGGTCACAGGATACTATCAAACCCAAAGACCTGCGCAATTCAATGTTTACAGTGCGGGATGGGCTTATTGTAGTCAGATTCCTCAACTTGAACCAGTTGTGCTTTATTCTATTCTATTTCAACTTGGTCCACGTTGCCAGCACCTCACCCGTTCCGGTGGTCCTCTCTTCTTGAGTCTTAGTCAAAAATTAAACTCCCGAGGCAAACAGCCATCCCAAGCACTATCAGAGGCTTCCGAGACTGGTGTCCCATCCTCGTGTGCACTGTGTCGCTTGGTATCAGAATGCAGAGCCTCTCCCCCTTCCCCTCTCCAATCACCTTCAACATCCCTAGCTACATATTCACTTAAAATACGCAACACTGAAAGCTGTAAAAGTCAAAGTGATCGTCACCTGTCACCTGTCACCTGTCGTCCCGTTGATCATCGAAATCCTCGAGCGGGCGCCAGTAACGTCTCCATTCGTCCCTGTCACGAGCCAAAGTGGTCCAGTGAACCGTTCTCGCTTCAGGGACACGAGGTTCAACATTCCTTTCGTTCAGAGCTTTCGTGAAGAAGTCTGACCATCTCGTCGGCGGCCTTCCTGGTGTTCGTTTGATGTCCCGAGGGATCCAGTCAGTAACCGCCCTGGTCCAACGGTCATCACTATATCGCATAACGTGTCCGGCCCACCTGATCTTCGATTTCTTGGCGTAATCAACGGCATCCCTGATCTTCGTTCGGTGACGGAGCTCGGAACTCCGGATTCCCTTCTGCACTTGCGTGTATAGGGAAATTCCGAGCATCGTCCTTTCCAAAGCGCGTTGAATAACGCTGACAGCATGCTCATCCTGCTTTCGTAGAGTCCAGGTCTCCGAGGCGTACGTCAAAGCAGGAAGGACAGCAGTGTCGAAAAGGTGAGCGCGGAGCCGGATGTTCTTTGTCTTCTTCACTACTCCCTCGATATTCTTAAATGCTCCCCACGCGGCGCGTTTCCTTCTGCACAGCTCTGGAGCNAAAGTGATCGTAGTGAAGAGAAAAAAATTTACTGAACTAAGGAAAACATTCATTCTCCCAACGCCCCTGCAGACAAGTTAGTTGACAGAGTGTGACGTTTTTCACTTTTTTCGACGCCTTATACCGCTTTGTTTGGACGCTGTCATGGGGCCCTCTACAGGTGTTTGAGCATGTGAATGAAAACATTACAAATCACCTCTGCACCGTTTTTGCCGTCGCCTGAGCTCAATGTAAGACTTGTACTACTCTGAATAGCGTTGATGTTTATTTTTACATTTTGTTTTGTTATTTTGAAATATGCAATACTAATAATAATAGTAATCCAGTTTCTGATTCAATAAGTCGATACTAGTTCATCCGAGAATGGCAGCGAGGTCAGCAGGCAATCATTGAGAAATGTCACCCCATCGCCGAGTGAGCGGGGGTGCGAAGAAAGTGCGATGAACCAGATTTGTACCGGCGATGAACCAGATTCGTACCTAAATTCCTTCTCCCATGACAGCATGCATGCTAATTATAGTTATGTTACTATGATCGAGAATGGTCACGTGGTCGGTAAAATTCACTTGATTTCGCTGTGTGATAAGGGAATAACCTGTTATCATAGTAGGTCTATGACGGCAGTCAGTCTATTTCCTTGCGGCCTTATCTGTCAGAATGCGTACTAGGTCTACTGGGATTTAATCTGTGTTCCTTCGCTGTTACTGCTTCGGTTTCTTTCTGCAAATAGGTTGCGCGCCTTCAATGAGCTATCTTACAGGGTTTTTGCGTTCCCTCTATGAAGGCACTTTGTTGTTGTTGTCAGAAGCATCCAAGTCACTGAGTCGCTTGCATTTCCTTCTTGGTATGGTAAACACGTTGACTGGTAACAGTAAACTAGTAAATTATCACAAAGTCCAAAAGCAACTTGACCTTCCTGCATCCTCGATGCAGAAGTGAAGTAGGTTAGGTTCGCATTTTACATTCTTGAAGTAATTGTGAAGAGCTGAACGGTCGTTTGAAGAGTCGTTTTTTGATCACCTGTGGGTATGGCAAAGGATTGCTATGCAAAGTTTTTTATCGCAACAAGGATTAAATCCACAGGGATTTGAAAGAGAGCTTGCAAGATGATCACTTTCATGTTTCCAAATATTTAGCTTTGAATCCTGAAGGACTAATCAGCTTTTAGCTCTCCAAGAAGAGACTTTGATCTCTCAGAGCGCCTCACAATCAGTTCACACGTTGTTACAGTGTCTATGCCACACGGCGATAAGCCGCTTTCCTGACGCTGCTTAAAAACGCCAGTCTGAACATAGGATGGAACTTTTGTCTCGCATATTTCTCTGATGGATTTGTGGTCGCTGCACATCTTCTAGCTACATCTCAATTGGCATCATCATGGGAAGCTTTGTGTAGCACTTTTCTCGAACTACATATAATAACGTTTCGATAACTCAATTTTGAGTTGCTAGTTCAGGAACTCGTAGAGAATCGATAATTGCTGGTAACTCTATCAGGATGTATCATATACTCCTTTTCCGTTCAAGATAACCATTTAAATCAGTATTTGGCTTTTGCAGATACTGCGCGCACGGCAACATACCACTACCAAAACCGGTAATCGTGTCAGAAGCTTTTGTCAGCTGGTCTGGCATTTTACCAAGCAGTTGGCCTGTCGTGGTAAAACACGACTTTCTACTCTGACAGGCTGTATGTAGTTAACTTCTCCTTTGACTGGAATCTATAGAATTAGTCATCTCTTCTAAGGATAGCATTTGACGTTAGTTTTTATACGACATCTGTCAGTACTGTAATATCTGAAATGATCGCTGCCGTATATAAGCCAAGCACTGTATCTTTCGAGGAGTCCAATAAATCTACCACTGCATGAGCGTAACATGACCATACCCACTATGCCATACCCACGCCGATTACGAACCCTTGCATGCTTTGACTGGACTTTGATATGTAATTCGGTTAGGCAAGGAACTAAGGCTAGTCGGTTAACCAGGTTGTTTTGCGTACCTATATTGAAGACCTTAGAATATAGAACAGATGAAACACTCGGATTACTTGGCTACGAAATGTTAGAGCAAAGCGCCGATTGGTGTTCGAGATCTTTCGCCAATTCCACAGCTTTTTTCCAGACAGTAATCCTTCAAATTTGAGTAGACGCTTTATTTGTTCCCTTTTCAGTGTAACGGTTAGTATTGAAGCTTCGATAGGCTTTTGTGTTACCCATGTGTCATTGATTGCTACTGTAGTGCCTCTTCCTTCTTTCAGAAAGAATCAATGTTCTCATTCCAGATGAATTCTTTTGAAGTTTACAGCCCAAATGTAAAGTTCGCTGGGCGGAGGTAAGGCGAGTGTCGGTATTCTCTCCCAGATTTCCACGCCAGGCTGCAGTGATTTCGGGACAGCCACTGTCATCTTGCACTGAGAAATCCAAATCTTCCCCCTCATAGCGCGCGATCGTTTGGATGAAGAGCTGTTGACTTTCACAACTATGAAAATTGCAAAAGCGGCGCTATAACGCAGAGAGGAGTAGATGTCAAGCAAGAAAAAATAGACTAGCAGGTCGTTGGTGCTGTCTTGAACCGCTGCAGGCCCATCATTGTGAAGAGTGGTTTTAGACGCACAAGGTTCTGTTGTTTGCGAATACTGCTCCGAGCACGACTAGTATATTTAATCTCTCCTCACTTCAACAGTTTTCACCATGTCTTGTTATTCGTAGATTCATTATATATATATATATATATATATATATATATATATATATATATATATATATATATATATATAGTAGCGCTCAAAAGTATTCGCCCAAGCACTTTTTTGGCCGTAACTTCTTCCTCAGCGGAGCAAATCGCATGAAATTTAGATATGTTTAACTGAAGCATATTTCAAACCATCCAACACTATTTGACTGCAAAACAACAATGTATACATAACTAAGGGGAAGGCGTTTGTAGACTATGCTGAAAGTAAGTTTGTGACGTCTGCAGTTATTCCTTATGTGCGTTTTTCTCCTCTACTGTGTTCGGCATTAGCGCTCGTACACTTTGGGCATGGCGAAAAGGAAAGAAACCCTAGAAACGCCAATGTCTGTATTCCCACTTGGTTTTTATTTCAAGCTTTCTGGGATGTCTGGAACATGATCAGATTGAGGATTGTAAGTGGAAAATATTCACACTACACCCATGCTACACATATTGAAATTTCGCATGATTAGATCCAGTAAGAAAGAAGTTACGACTGAAAAGTACAACTGAGGAAGCATTCCGCCGAATACTTTTGAGCGCTACTGTATATGGTATCTTTGGGTAATACACAATCAATAAGGCTCAAGTTTCGCTACTTCTCCTCTCCTCTTTCTTCAACGGATCTGTTGGCTAAACGCTGAGATAGCAAATTGACTAGGAACATAGTTTAATATACATCGTACGAATGACCTGTGATATTGGATACTAGGAGAAATGACCATGATTGCTCTTTTTCCTGCTTGTGTTCGAGTAGCTCGAGCATCCTGAAGAAATCATAACTTTCTTTCGACTTCACGTTATAGGTAATGCTGCGGAAAGTGTTTTCAAGCGTATCTGCTCGAGTCCGAGCCGCCAGTTCGATGCCACCGCCTATAACCGACATTGAACCCAAGTTTACAAAGGTAAGTTTTACTCAGAAGCTCTTCTGAATGTTACTGCTTATATTGGTCTCTCTCCTATGTCTGTTTCACTTCATTTTCAGCTTTTCATAAACAACGAGTGGGTTGACGCCGTTAGCAAAAAGACGTACGAGACAATAAATCCAGCGACCGGCAAACGGATAACGAGTGTAGCGGAAGCTGATAAGGCAGATGTCGACAAAGCAGTGAAGGTTGGGGATCTTTCGCTGTGTGAAAAAGAAACTGGTCGACGGTACGAACATAAAGCTATGATCAGATTGGTCACTGGTATAGTAAAGCATAACATTTCGGCAAACTGAAAGCACTAGGCTCCAGAATTTACTAACTGGCGAGAGCGTAAGTAGATGACCAATCGTCGAAACTGAAAACCAAAGTATGTAAGTCGCAAGACAAAGTATGTAAGTCGCAAGACAACTTTATGGTATCGATTAGTAAAAAGATTTATTCAAAGCTTGTGCACTAACCAATAAGATAGCTCTTCTTCTTTCCGTCCAATTTGGATAATCTCCTTCCGTGTACCCCCGGCGTCAGCAATTACTCGGAGGGTGAAGATCCCTAAATCAACGTTCATGTTTTCGAGATAACTTCCTATCTATCACATGGTCAGTTTACTCCTGGTGACAGACGTACTTTAGGCTGTTGCAACGCTAGTAAAACCTTAACAAAAGCAATACCTAAAGTTGCGGCCGACCTCGTAGCATAGTAAAAGGTGACCTATCCGAAGCTAGCTAGGCGTTCCTTTGAAGTGGCTGGGATACGTGCCGAGATGAGCATCGTCATTTGGTTTCAGAACAGCTCCCTGAAACACTTGGGAATTAGGTGAAAATGAACGCGGGCTGGTGGATGATATGAAGGTATCTCGTTTGTGCCCCCATCTCATTTGGGAATGGTTTCTTCGAAAGTTGGTTCTTGCTACCAAATTTCACTACTTGGTTCGAGATCAGCCTGAAATCAGAGGAGAGTCGATGGTAATGGTATCTAGTGTGACAGGGATGAAATTAATTTCATGTCCCATCTCAATAGGTGGAGAGTGCACTGTGACGTTTGCTACAAAAATTCACGCAAAATTCTTTTTCGACTAGGAAAAGGTAGAGCGAGATTGGTGAAGCAGATAAAAGCTTACAGTTGACGAGGTGTGCACCGAGATGGACTAAGTTGGATTAAGCTGTACACTTAGGGTTAGCAGTTTAATGGCTCTGATGTTGTGAAAAGTGGGTCGTGTAATCGATACTGCTCGAAAATGGCAAATGTTAGCACGAAATTCGAGAAAGAAAAAACGGGAGCAGACGGTTTGTCGGTGATCTAAGGGATAGAAAGCATGATGCCTGGGGAGCACAAGTACGGGTTTGAGTTCTGAGGCCGGAGTTTCAAGCACAAATCGCCTCCTTATGAGATTTGTGAAAAAAAGATGCCCGATGTGTATGAAATTCGGGTGAGGTGGGACAAGTTCAAGCCGAAAAAAGTGCTTTGTTCGATGATGAAATGATCACTTTGCTCACCTTCATTTACTGAAGCCTTTTCAGGTTATAGGGTTCGGCCTAATAACTCTCTAAAGTCGTTACATCTCATCTGAAAGTAGTGTAGGGCTGAACTGAGCGTCATTTTACTTTTGAGTGTCAGGAAGCATCAAGGTGTAAAACGGCCTCATTTAGAGCCGTTCATAACTAATCTGAAAAAATTTTCATCCTTCTTTGTTATTTTGGGCGGCCAAGGATGCGTTTCGTCTCGGATCACCCTGGCGTCGAATGGATGCAGCACAACGTGGTGCTTTAATGCACAAGTTGGCCGACTTGATGGAGCGGGATAGAGCTTATCTTGCTGTGAGCTTCTTAGATTTCCACTTCCTTAATGTAATAATAATGAAAATGTAACAATATCTGACCTTCTCACCTCTTCGAAATATTTTCTTTTAACGTTTTTACAGTCGCTGGAAACTCTAAATAACGGAAAGCCATACGCTGTCGCTTATAATGCTGATCTACCTCTCTCAATTAATTGCATAAGGTATGCCTATGGTTTTCATCACTGATAAAATCACGTGCGCTACTCGTGAGATTGGAGCTGTTACCGTACTTCTCCAGATATTCTGCCTGCGTAAACGTTATTTTTTTTGGAAATACCGCACTAGAATATCATACAAAGAAAGTGCATCATGTGCACATTACTTAACTCCTTCCACGTAGAAATTCTTTAAAAAAATAGTGGAGGAATGTGGCAATAACTACATTGCGTCTTCGAATGATTACCTGGTCCGCAGAATTACATGTGGGCGCTTCCATTCTATCTGTTTCCTAAAGCTCAAGAAAGTGCTTGGTTACACAGTGGTATTCAGTCATTTGGGGCCGGTAGTGCAATTGTTTCGGGGAAAGTGTGATTCTGTCACTGACATAATGAGGCCGCTTCACATAATGTGGCGCGCAATACATTGCAAGGCAAAAATGGAGCCAAACATTGATGCAACGGTTCATAATTTTTGAGAGCACATCGTTTCAATCCATTCACCTTGCATTATAAAATAGTGAGCGATTTTGAGGGTCAAAAACGCAGGAGACGATTGCGCTTCGTTGCGCGCGTCCGTCCAAACTAAGTCACGCCGCAGCTGTCGTATGCGGTAGATCAGCTTGCGATCTTTGATAAACGTCGCAGTTGTCAGTGGGGCGTACGATTTGCGCTTGGTCCACGCCAGTCAGCTCAAAGAAAGGATAACACGGACAAATGCAAGTCATTCGCTCCACTGACTTTTGGTGGTACTGTAAAGTCGTCTCGAGACCTCAGTAAGGTGCGCCGCGCGCGAAGTGGGCGGAGTGACCTTCTTTTGATGGACGCGCGCAACGGACGTTCTCCCGCAGGGGACATATGTATCTGAACAATAAGCCACTTTAAAACTGTGTAAATTTTTTCCATTTCTTGGCAGAAGAAAGGTTTTTTTTAAGTATACGCAGTTACGTGGCTGGCAACCTAATAGAACGCTGGTATAGCAATGATACATTTTTTTATTGGGCAGCTTGTGCAACAAAGTACTCCTGTCGTCTGGGGTCGTCTGGGTCAGTCGAAACGGGGGTCGAAGTTGTTCTCTTCGTCGGAATCACCTATTAAATAGGCATATGCCAAAGGTGAAAAGGACCCGTCCAATGCTACTGATTAGCAATTTTTAGTTGGTGGTGTGTTTTGTCTTCTGAAAATCAATTTACTCCCCATTCATCGTCCTCTTTGGATTTTTCTTTTACCAAGGTTATTTATTCGGATTATGCTCTGAAAAGTGCTCTTGTTCCTCACCCATCATCTGCGAGTAATTGTTCCAAAGAGCACACATTAACCGACAATCTAATCAGCCACATTTTTGATCATTTTGTCTGGTAATAGTTGTAGTGAGCCAGTGAAATACTTTGAATCGCAGACTGTCCGTCCGTAAGACTTTATGATCACGATAAAGGTAGTAACTATGGGAAACCCACCCCTATCCCTCATTTCCTCCTTATATAAAGTAACTGGTGATTGGGTTGATAGAGTGGAGTGAGTGCTGCGGAGTGAAGTGAGTAAAGTGGAGTGAAGTGGAAACTTCGAAACTGATTTCGATCTGCACATCTCGCGGCATCGTGCTATGTATGTCTATACAAAAATCGGATGTAATAATATGATTGAGAAACATTGAGCACTAGAGAGCAGGTAAGGAGGTTAGCTCATAGTTGTGCTCAGGAACGTTTTTTAGAAACATAGTTTTTTGACCTGAGATCTTATGAAGGAGCACCTGGGTGGATGAGTCAATTGAATATTCACCTACTCCTCCTAGCTTTTTGCACTGGTAATCATCTCATCCCCACCCCGACGCTCCTCTTCTCCTGAGGCTTAGGTAATAATTCTTTCGCCTACAACCGACTCGAAGCACGGGTAAGATCAGTCATCCATTTTTTTTTCTGCACTCTAGTCCTTGGTGCTTAGTTAAAGCGTG